AAATAAAAAACTCATCTTCCTGGACGTCGTGTATACCTTCGTTGCTCCGTCTTTAAACTGCGGCGAGGCCAACGTCTGTGTTGAGCTGAAACGTGGAAGAAATGCAGTAACATACGATGGTCTTCCTTTCCATTTTAGAAGTTTCCCCATAAGGTCTACACCGTTGATTGGCTGCACTTCACTATGTACTGGTAAGAAGTAGGCCTAGCTATGGGGGCTAAAGTTGAAGGGGCGACTGGCAGGGAACGACGGGGAGGGGGATACACAGATTATTTGGTGGGCTGAATAGCCCCGGAAGCAGTATTAAATTCACTTAAATCTGCTATATTTTGCCTGATTCCGGGACTCTTCAACTATTACTTTGTAACAAATTTGGGGTTTCCAAGTTTATCGGGAGGGGATTGGCACAACAAAATCCTTATTTCCCTGGCGCTCTTGTCTAACATCTTCATTCCTACTCGTCTATCTTTATATCTTTATATAAGCAGTAACCCAGCCAGCTCTGCACCGATGATTGGCTGCACTTCATTATGTAATGGTAGGAAGTAGGCCAAACTATGGGGGCCCGGGTAAAGGGCGACTTACAGGGAAGGGGTGGGGGACACAAGGTTTATCGGATGGGTAAAATGGTCGGACCTAACAATGTTAACATTGATTAGTTCAGTTCAGTTCAGTTCATTTATTTCAATCATAAAACCTTAACATAATATATATACACAAGTAACATGAAACAATCATAATCTGACAATTTTTGAGTTAAGAAACTGGACACTAAAAAGGAAGTTTGAAAAACTTGTAAGTATAATAGTCCCCTGACATAAATAATAAATAACGAGATTACATGGTTGTACACGTTACTACGACAATAACGATATATAAATAAGATACTACACATTATAGATACACACCGATGAACACACACACCATACACACACACACACAAGCATGGTACATTGCAAGGTAGAACGAGTTAAAAGAAAGAGTTAAGGGAAATAAGAAGAGACCATTACTGTCTCTTCAATAGAACTTTAAAGGATGATATAGTTGTGCATACTGTTGGCTTATCAGTTAAATCGTTCCAAATACGGGGACCATTATGTCTAAAAGAGTAAAGCATTAACTGGGTAGAGACCTTTATTATAATGATATTTGATACAGGAACGAGTATTATATGAATGAACTGATTTATTAAGGATAAACATTTGACAAACTCTTTTAGGTACATAATTATTATAAACATCATACATCATAATGGTACTTTTAATTGTATGTATATCATAAATATCGAGTGTTCTTAGGCGAAAAAACAGGGGACGTGAATGAGTTTGATAATAGGAATTTGTACATATTCTTAAAGCTTTCTTTTGAAGTTTATAGAGAGGTTCTAATTTAGTTGTTCCCACACCGACCAAGGTGATATTACAGTAATGTAAGTAAGGCAAAATTAAACAATTATACAACATCAACAATACTTTTTCAGGCAGAAATATACGTAATTTACAAAGAACACCAATGTTTTTAGATATTTAATTAGTTATATACAATCAATGATTATGTATGGGCATTAGCCGTTCGACCTCATAATTTGGGGGAGGGGATAGCCTACTGTGGTGGAGGCATGAGATTCTTGCACTTATTTTCTACACTTTTGGGGGAGGGGGCTTAAGCCCCAAAGGCTCACCCCGCTCCCTAGAGCCGCTTCTAGTTCAATGTGTTCTAACATCCCCTTCTCATATTTCCACATCCCCTCCCCGTTTTTTTCTCCCCCCCCCCCCCCCCCATATGATTGGTGGGTATGTCACCCCGGAGTTACGCCATACATTGTTAATGAGCGCAACAAGGGTTCATTCGCAATGAGACCTTTTATCTGGCTTGTATGATATCCCAATATACCATTGTTTTTATATATAATCTTCCATGTTTGTGTTTTACCATTATCATTTATAAAATATGTCGATTTGTTTTCACCTTCAGAAGATTAGATTCGATTTAAAAAAAGGCTCTCCTGAAATATGCATCGGAATCAGTCTAGACTGTACTCCGATCAACCCTCGTCCTTGCTTTCTGAGTTCTGTCCTTAACTTCCGGTCTGGATCCCCCCCCCCCCCTCTCTCTCTCTCTCTCTCTCTCAAAAACTATAGTTTATTGACCCGGTAGGAAATAGCTAACGATGTCATTATACTCTGTTTTAGGCCGACACATATATCCTTGTGTGGATACGGGAGGAAAACATTTGCACGAAGATGTCTGGCAACGAGATCCGTGCACACAATGTACTTGTAACAACGGAACAGCTGCGTGTACTACAAAGGAATGCCCCGATCCTGATTGCAACAGGCCTGTGAGACTTGAAGGCGAATGCTGTCTATCCTGCCCATATCGTAAGATATATCCTGAAGTTTTTAAGCCTAGTTTACATTTGGCCTGCGATTAGACTACTGAGTATCCTGCCCGTAACCCTTTTCCCTTGCGGCCTCCGTGTGGAGGCAGGAGGCGACCGTGAGATTTTCTCACGGATTCACGGCTCCGCGACCTCTACAATTTTGATTCGTTATTTCGTAGCCCGTAGACATGTCGTAGCTGGAATGCATAATCCCGCACGGGCATCGCGCGGAGGCCTGGCGCTGATCGTTAAGCAAACGCACGATTTTCGGTGAACATGGGGGCAAAAAAGGGTTCAAAACGGCAGGGCGGCTGCGCGGTCACCGCGCCTTATCCCCGCAACTTCTGCACGGGCTCCTTACGATTTCCGTGCGGAGGCTGCGGAGACTGCACGGTAACTGCACTGAACTTTCACGACTTCCCTACATTCTCCGAGCATGCAGCCTCTGTACGAGTTTGCCCCGGCCTGCCTCCGAGGGCTAATACGAAAAGTGGCACGATGCTCGTAGATAATGTAAACACAAACATCGTAGCCGGTAGCGTCCTACCAGGGCATGTCTCCCTGGTCCTACGATGCCCAAAATATCGCACGAAAATTCAAAGACCAATTTGTCGAACGGCGCCCGGGGCAAATGTAATCTAGGCAAAGTAACACATTATTATGAGGGAATGAAATATTTCGCCTCCTGACTCTAAACTAGAGATGTATATTAATGTTGACAGTGGGTGGGGGGGGGGCGTAAGTTTATCGCCCGAATGTGAACTTCCAGTTTTTGTTGCGCCGACGCCGATGGGTCATGGCAGGGTCTGCGTGAGTTCCCGAGAGCATATAAAATCAGCCAGACCTCGAATATTAAAGCAGTCGATATGTCTTATATATGCCAAATTGAAACAAAAATCTACGAAGAATTCTTACCTTATCCTTTTATTGAGTAAAGATTGGTTAAAACATCTCGGAAAATCCGAGACACTGTCTGTTTATCTTTGCCGGAAAAAGGACTGAAATTTTCGATCAGTTGGGAATCGCAGACAAAAAGCACTTTATGGTGTCTGCGCTCGCTCATAAAACATTTTAACACGTAAATCAATGGGGATCGCAGCAAAAAAATTTTTTTTTTTTGTAACTGGAAGTTTGAGGGATCTCACTCTGGGACTATTAATCGGTTTTGGCATTTTTCTTATCTTTACGGGAATGGCTAAAATCACGACTCCAATTTCGACCAAGCAGATGGCTGGATTTCTTAAGTAAGGTATATAAAATAAATACTACATCGCCTCCCGAATAAGAATTGACGGGTGGCGTAATGGTTTTCCTATTTTGTTATGTGACACGATAAAACTTGTACCTTTAAACAAAAATATCAAGAGCGGTTCCAGAAGTTTTTTTTGGGGGGGGGGGGGAGGGGGCTTTGGGAAATTGGAGGTTCTTGCATTCCCCTTCTACATATACCATGCTTATATTTACGTATAATTAACATACATAATTATATGATATTAACATGTAGGCCTATTTTATTTCCAATTCCGAATGGTTTATTTTTGGAAAACGGCACGCAGTGCACTTTTTACTTGCCTATTCTTTTGATAGCCAAGTATCGCATAACCTCCTTAAATCACTTCGTCATTATTCCTCTCTCTCTCTCTCTCTCTCTTTCTCTCTCATCTTCCATCCTATTTATCCAAGATGTAAGGGTGAGGAGAGTGTCACCGTTTGTCATGGCACGTGGAGACCAATTCCACCTTCGAGTCTTGATCACCATCCATGAAAGCCAGCACACTACAAATTTACAGGGATAAATCTGTGGAAACTTAGTGCCTGGGTAGCCCTTGATGAGACTAACACTGGCAAGAGGTAAGATATGCCGACAACATTAATACTTCAAAGTTTGTCTGTTATTGGAAAAATTAAACTCATATGAGATAGCAATGCCCAATGAGAGTTAACTGTATGCCTAAAATCATCAAACTTACCCGGCAGCGACCAAGAATGACGGAAAAGGTTTTTTTATAAAATATAGAACCTCAACAAATTCGAAAAGTTCTCAAGAACTTAGTTCCTTGAAATGTGAAAAGCGAATACAAGACATTATATAGTTAATACGTCACCAGACTGTTCGCGTTTAAAATCACGCCGCGGAACAAATGTTAGTTGGTAAGACATTGTTACTCTACATTTGCCTCTTTCCACCCAGGTTTAGTAAAATATATATACTCCTCAGATATGACTATAAAGAACAGATTCTAGATGATACGCAGAGGTCACAGCAGTACGTGAAAGGCGAGATACCGGCGTTCGCTGTTGATTTCGGCAGTGCAGACCCTGCTGTTGCTTGTGGCAGTGCCTTCTATATCTGTGTTAGATTCGACATGGACAGCGACTACCAAACGGAGCATGATCGTGGCTTTGAACTCTCAGGACTTCCTGATAACTCATCACTCATCGGTTGCACGTCTACCACGATCTCTGAAGAGAAGTGCAGTACCGTAGACAAACCTGATGGTACGTAAAATCAGCACAGGCAGGTCACCTGAGGGCGCAATTAGGAATATAACTGACAACCCCACCCCCCCCCCCTTAATAACCACATTTTGAAGTGTCTTCTGAGACCTGGTACATG